AGTCAAACTTAGTATAATCGAGTCAAATTCTAGTATCGTCGAGTCAAACTTAGTATAATCGAGTCAAATTATATTATAATCGATTCAAATTCTAATATGATCAATTCAATTCTATGTATTCATTTTACCAAGAAACGTATTCATTTTACAAAGGAACATGTTCATTTTACCAAGACACTTATTCATTTTACAAAGTAACATATTCAAATGAACATGTTCATTTTACCAAGACACTTATTCATTTTACAGAGTAACATATTAATTTTACCAAGTATAACTGAGTCAAACTTAGTATAATTGAGTCAAACTTAGCACAATCGAGTCAATTGTAGTATGATCAAGCCAATTCTAGTATAGTCGAGTCATTTCTAGTATGATATATTCAATTATAGTATGATCGATTCAAATTCTAATATGATCAATTCAATTCTAGTATAATCAATTCAAATTCTAGTATGATCCATTCAAATTCTAGTACAGTCGAGTCAAACTTAGTATAATCGAGTCAAATTCTAGTATAGTCGAGTCAAACTTAGTATAATAGAGTTAAATTATAGTATAGTCGAGTCAAAAAGATGGAAATGGTCGGGGTGAGAAGGTCGGTCCATATGGCCCCGAAGAGGCGGTTTGGCTGGTTGCCCGACCTCACTTCTCCCCAGGCTGATGACGTAGAGAATGCACCCGAAGATGTAAGTCTCCATCTCATGCCATCCAAACCTCCCAAAAATGTTCACCTTATTTTGTAAATATGTAACATTTTCATTTTATTCTATAACATATTCATCTTATTATATAACATGTTCATCTTACTATGTAACATGTTCATCTCATTATGTATCATGTTCATCTTATTTTATAGCATGTTCATCTCATTTTGTAACATATCCATCTTATTTTGTAACATGTTCGTCTTATTGTGTAAATATGTAACATGTTTATCTTATTCTATAACATGTTCATCTTACTATATAATATGTTCATCTTACTCATTTTATAACATATCCATCTTATTTTATAACATGTTCACCTTATTCTGTAAATATGTAACATTTTCATCTTATTATATAACATATTCATCTTACATTCATACTATATAACATGTTCTTCTTATTATGTAACATGTTCATCTTATTATATAACATGTCCATCTTACTATGTAACATGTTCATCTTATTTTATAACATGTCCATCTCATTTT